AAAAAAAAAAAAGACTTGATCTTGGCTCCAGGGAGTCTGAGGTGCTCAGAGAACACTCAGCAATCCTGTCTTTTGGTTTGTTTTTTAATGTAGGGCATGGAGAACATACAATGGCATGTTTATGATCAGACATGAACATCAAAAGCCTCTGGGTTCACAGGTCTTAATTTCATTTGTTTTGTTTTGAGATAATGTCATGCTTTGTCACCCAGAGTGCAGTGGCATTATCATAGTTCACTGTAACCTCAAACTCCTGGGCTCAAGCAATCCCCCTGCTTCAGCCTCCTGTAGCTGGGACCATAGGGCACATCACCACGCCTCATTAATTGTTTTGTAGAGGTGAGGTCTTCCTCTTGCTCAGGCTGGTTTCTCTAACTTCTAACCTCCAGGGATCCTCCCACCTTGGCCTCCCAAAGTGCTAGGATTATAGGTGTGAGCCACCTCACGCAGCCCACACTTTTTACTTTCAAAAGATATTACAAGTTACAGTTTTCAAAATAATGTGATACTGGCATAAAGACAGACACTTGGAATAGAGAGCCCAGAAATAAACCCTCGAGTGTAATAGACTTTCCTCCAAAGACGATACACCATTGGCCAAGAAGCAAATGAAGAGACGCTCAGCATCACTAACCATCAGAGAAACGCAAATAACTAAACAATGAGGATCAGCTCACACCCGCTAGGATGGTTACCAGTAAAAAGGAAAAAGACCAAGTGTTGAGGACGACGCCATGAAACTGGAACCCTTGTTAATTGTGGGTAGGACTGAAACATGGTGTAACGGCAATGCAGAACAGTATTGGTCAAAAATTTAGAAATAGAAGTATCGTAGAATCCAGCAATCCCACTTCTAGGTGTATATCTGAAAGAATTGAAAGCAAGGTGATGTGCGTGCTGGTATTCAAAGCAGCACTGTTTAAATAGCCAAGGGTGGAAGCAACCTCAATGCTAACAAGTAGGCAAATAGCCTAGTTTGGTGGCTCACTGTAATCCCAAAGATTTGAGAGGCTAAGGCAGGAAGATCACTTGAGACGAGGAGTTTAAAACCAGCTCGGGCAACACAGGGAAACCCCATCTCTAAAAAAATAAGAAAAATTAGCTAGGTGTGGTGGCATGCACCTGTAGTCCCAGCTACTCAGGAGGCCGAGGCAGGAGGATCACTTGAGCCCAAGAGTTCAACTTGGAGAAAAGTTCTTCCTACCAAGACAGAGGAAGCTGTGTATTCTGTATGGGGCTCCATATAATACATTTATTATCTATTATCAGTCTTTTTTTTAGAGATGTGGGGGTCTCACTCTTGCTCAGACTGGTTTAAACTCGTGAGCTCAGGGTAATCTACCCACCTCGGCCTCCCAAGTGCTGGGATTACAGGCGTGGCCCCAGCCAAAACTGCAACAACAAAAGAAAATAGCCGGGTGTTGTGGCGAGCGCCTGTAGTCCCAGCTACTCGGGAGGCTGAGGCAAGAGAATCACCTAAGCCTAAGAGCTGGAGGTTGCTGTGAGCTGTGATGCCACGGCATCACTGAGGGCGACAAAGTGACTCTGTCTCTAAACAAAAAAAAAAAAAAAGAGGGAGGAGAGACATACATATTTGCTTGGTCATGTGGAATATTTATTTGGAAACTGATGACACTGGCCTTCTCCAGCTAGGGATGGGCAAGGGATAAGGCAGAAGGAGAGGTTTTGAGCTTGGAACCACATGAATGTGGTACTTAGCCAAGAGTACCCAGAACCCAGATTAAAGACATAGAATGGGGCGGTGCCTGTGGCTCAGAGGGGTAGGGCGCTGGCCCCATATACCGGAGGTGGCGTGTTCAAACCCAGCCCAAAAAAAGAAAAAAGAAAAAAAAAAAGACATAGAATGAACACTGTTTTAAAGGGAGCTAAGCTCCTTTGCCAGAGTCACAATTCCTACCTCTTACTCCTGGGCTCAGCTGAGATGGACGGCAGCTGGTGCACCTGGGCACTCTTTCCTCCAGAGCAAGCATCCTCAAACTACGGCCTGTGGGCCACATGCAGCCCACCTAGGACTTTTATCCAGCCCGCCGGGTGTTTTTGCCGCTGCTGCCTGTCCTGCTTAGCAGCCAACTCTTCCCAGGGCCTGCTGTCTGACCCTCCAACAGTCTGAGGGACAGTGAACTGGCCCTGTTTAAAAAGTTTGAGGACCCCTGCTCCAGAGCTTGAGCTGCCCCTCTGGTAGCACAGCTGTGAGCCATCAGCTCACCTTAATCACTGGGGGGGGGGATGGGATGCAGGTTCCTGGATCACACCCCAGACCTCCTGGGCCCAGGAATTTGTGATGTTAACAAACTCCCTTGACAATTTTGGCAACCACCAGAGCCTTGAGAACCACCAGTCCAGCGCTTTGCTGGGCTCCCTTTGTTAATTTCCAGGAAACACACACCCTAGAACTGAGGCCCCAAGCCTGGGGTGCTGCCCCCAACTGCCCTCCGCAGATATTTGCCCCTGACAGCTTCCAGCTGAGTTGACCACTCCCAGGCGCCAGCTTCCCAGCCTCTCTTGCTCCCAGCTAAAAGACAGAGACCCCTAAGCAACCAGCCTCTGACTCCCAGGGTCTGCAGGCCTGTAGACATGAGCTAACCTATCAATTAGCAATGGAGGGCTCTGGCCCCACCTGCTCCTCTGTGCCACCACCTGCCCTCAGCCACCAGGAGGCCCCAGTGGAGAAAATCAGTTACACCTGGACAGCTGCCCGCTGTGCTGCCTTAACAAGGGGGAGGGCTAGAGAGGTACTGGCTGCCTAACAGGGTGGGATGGGGGAGTCCCGGGTCATCTGAGACTACTGTGCTACGTGAAGGTCGTGTGCTGGCCTGACCGTGGTCAGCTCAGTAGGGCCGTGCCATGTTATTCCAGAACATTGTCCATCTCTCCCTGGACAACCCTGCCCATGCTGTTTGTGTGATGGGCTCAGAAATCTGCGTGGATATCAGCGAGTAAGGGTCTGGGGGTGAGGGGTCTGCAAGGCTGGGGGTGGTCCGGGGTGGAGAGGTGGCTCCCCTCTTCCCCTGTCCCCTAGAGGCAGGGGTTTCTTCCCTTTTCTGAGTCTCACAGTCCTGCCCTGTCTTGAGAAGCCCGAGTTGGGTTTCCAGAAAATCTCCCCATCCCACACTGCAGGACTGTGACTTAACTCCTGCCCCTGCCCCCATATTGGCTGTGGGCCCTGGGGGGAGGGAGGGTAAGTGCCTTGGCTTTCTGTCCCCTTTCCTGTGAAAGGGGTGGTGAGGATGGCCTTCTAGGGTGAGAGGAGGAGTAGGTGAGGGAGGCCCCTAGGTGCTGCAGCCTTGGTGTGGAGGTGACTGACTCACAACAGGTCATGTCTTCCTCTGGGTCACAGCATAGACCTCCCAAGTCTTACGCTTTTTTTTTTTTTTTTTGGCCGGGGCTGGGTTTGAACCCACCACCTCTGGTATATGGGACCAGCGCCCTACTCCTTTGAGCCACAGGCGCTGCCAGGTCCTATGCTTTTTATTTTTTTCCCTACAGGATCTCTTGTATAGTAAACGAATGGCTTTTACCTTTTGGGGGATTGGGAGCTTTTAAATAAGGTGTCTGGTAACTTCTAAAGCATCAGTTGGAGAGTAGGATCTAGGCTGGAGCTTGGCAGAGAGTGAACGTGGGGGTCCTTGGGGTAGGAGTGGTAGGGATAAGGCTGAGTTGTGTTAGGACACCCTGGCCAGTAGGTCTCTACCTCAATACCCTAAGGAGAGTTAGGATCTGGGGGCCGTTCTTTATGCTCTGAAGCAGTGGTTCTCAACCTTCCTAATGCCGCGACCCTTTAATACATTTCCTGTGGGTCGCGACCCACAGGTTGAGAACCGCTGCTCTAAAGTCTGTCTCTTTGCCCGGCAACCCAGGGGTGCCCCACGTGAGTGTGCGAGCTTCACCATCAGTGGATCTGCGGGGATCTTGATCGATATTGTCGATTCCATGATCACTGAGAAGGAGGACACCACAATCTGGTGGCCCTTGTCTGACCCCACGTACGCGGTCATGAAGATGACATCGCCCAGCCCTGCTGTGGATGGAGACAAGGTAGGACCAGGTGGAGCCGCTGAGGTCTCCCTCCTGACAGCCCGGGGGCGTCTTGCTTGCCTGACCTCATTTAGTGCTTACAACAAGCCTGGGAGAAGAGCACTCCATGGCCCCGGGTTATACACCAGTGGTTCTCAACCTTCCTAATGCTGCAGCCCTTAAATATAGTTAGTGTGGGTTGTGACCCACAGGTTGAGAGCCACTGTTATAGACAAAGAAACTGAGGCATCCTCCCTGACCTTGCTGGTAGTCAACAGAACCGAGATTCGACCTGGGTCCATATGCACTTCTGACAGTGCCTGTCCTCCAGTCTAAAATTGTTAAAGCCTGGTGTAACCTTTTCTGATCCTATGTTGGACATAAAGATTTTTCTTGTTCATAAACAGACAAACAAGAACACTAGGCTCGGCGCCTGGAGCTCAGCAGCTAGGGCGCCAGCCACAGGCTCCGGGGCTGGCAGGTTTGAACCCAGCCGGGGTTTGCTAAACAATAATGACAACTACAACCAAAAAATAGCTGGGCATTGTGCCAGGAGCCTGTTAGTCCCAGCTACTTGGGAGGTTGAGGCAAGAGAATCACTTAAGCCCAAGAGTTTGAGGTTACTGTGAGCTGTGACACCACTGCACTCTACCAAGGGCAACATAGTGAGATGCTATCTCCAAAAAAAAAAAAAAAAACCACTTCATATAACCTAAAATAGATAATTAAATCATCAGGTGGGTTCATATGTTTTGCTTTTAAAACCGTAGGATAATTACAAGTCGTCCACCAGCTTCTTTCTTGTCCAAAATAAGAGCTGGGGAGATACAGGTGGCAGAAAAACTGGATTGGGAAGGGTTAAATTTTACCAGTGAAACTCAGATGGGCTTTTTGGCTAAGGCAGCTCTTTTGGATGTGGAGACTTTTGTAGGAGGTATTGGGGGATCCCTGCCTCACTGTCAGAGGTTCTTAAAAAAAAAAAGTATCAAATGCATGTTATATTTAGGTAGCTTGAATCCCTCCAAGGGATTGACCTCCCTCTCCTCTCATCTGACGCAATTTAGGCATAGGGCGCTGTATCATTCTAAATAGCATAATCAGGGTGGGGCAGATCCAGGATTTGGGCCCCAGTCTGTGGCCTTTCTCCTGGGCAAGGTGTTTTCCTGGACGCAGCACCTGTTCACCTCCACCTCACAGAACAGGCTGCCAGGCTTATCAGAGACAGGTGGCAGCAGTGGTGATTAAGTGGGAGAACCTGATCAGAAAAGGGCTGTAGATTAGAACCACTAGTGTTTTGGCAGGTGCCTGTAGTCCCAACTACTAGGGAGACTGAGGCAAGAGAATCACTTGAGCCCAAGAGTTTGGGGTTGCTGTGAGGGCTCCACCGCACTCTACCAAGGGTGTCAAAGTAAGACTGTCTTTAAAAATAATGGAACCACAGGGGACTGGTTAACATTCAATACCCAGGCCACATTGCCTACCTGTTAAATCAGAACCTCTGGGAGTAGGCTGGCCCCAGCAGTTCAAAGTTCTCCAGGTGAGTCCACCACAGCGCAGGGTGAGAACCACAATGAAGCAGTTCCACCTGGTGAACATGTTGGCGTTCTTACTGGCAGGGCTCAGCTAGGATGGCTAATGTGCAGTGCAGATGCCCACTTATGCTCAGTACCCAGGGTGGGCAATTCCCTAAGAGACAGCTGAGAATGGCTCGGCGCCTATAGCTCAACCGGCTAAGGCGCCAGCCACGTACACCTAAGGTGGCGGGTTCGAATCCCCAGCCCGGACCCGCCAAACAACAATGAC